AACGAAGGAAAGATTTGACAATGTCTTCCCTGCTTGGATCTAAAGTCATTGCTTCGTACTATATTCGCTTTCTGATGCAGTTTTGAACACCATTTTATGATCACAGTAGAAAATTGTATTCCCGCCATATTTTGTCTTTCCAAGACCTACCGTATGAACAAATCGTTGCGATAGGTAGACGTAATGCGAAGGACTGGTTTTATCCCAATTTCAGCAAAAATGCAAGGCATTTTGAGTTTTCGTTTGCTCTATGCAGACTAATTTTATAGTTAGTCCTGTAAATCCGTTCATTAAATTGCCTGCCGTTGCCCTCACCAACTTGTCTTGTTCTAACCAACACAGCATCCGTTACTTTGTCGAAAAAGGACCTATATCGTGTTTCTCCTTCTTGAAATGTATTTTGTTAGCAGGTTACGCATTCCCATTGCTGCTTAAAACGAACGTCAACTTTTCGATTTCTACAAAGTCGATATAGCGATCTTTTTAATAAAAATATGTACAGGCGAGCAGAAAGACAAAAGGAAGTTTTTCGAAAATAATTTCTGAAATGTTTTGCAACGTTTTTGGTGGTTGTTGGTATCAACTTTGTGCCGGGATTATCTAAAAAATAACCACAGCACTGAATAGTATCTTCCCAAACATACTACTACTGGCATTAGCTAGAACGCAATGCAGCGAAACCAATTGATCTGCCACAAATTATAAATGCCGCTCCCGCATCCAGCGTTTGTACGTTTCAGTGTATTTTGTTATGAAATTGCTCAGCGTTTTAATAACAGGCCTAAAGACAGTCTTTCTATGTGGCAGCATGCCCAAGGAAAACCAGAACACTACTGGATTGGTTTACGCTGGTCGCATACTATGCTCCAATGGGTTTCTGGCTATCCGGCCGTCCCCTTTACACATTGGAAGGATCCCAGTCGACGTCTTTCGCCCGAATGCATCTCCATACTGTCTGGTATGTCGTAGTTAACCTCTTATCATAACTCACCCGATAAAGGTGTCCGCATTCGATTGTAGAATATTTCATAGAATTTTAAAGAATATTTTATAGATAAAATATGCCCTCTTAGCTGTTCACTGATTTCTGCTTAGCAGGAAAAGAACACAATGATGTCTTTAACTTAGGTCATGATAATGCTAATATTTTAGTGACCTTAAAATAGGCGTGTGCAGTAAGATTTATTATATCCAACAGATTTCATGACGGCTTATCGACTGGAACCCGTATTTGGATAACGAATGAGTGTTTGAGTGTGCAGAGAATGTCAATGTATAACAACAGAGGTCGTAGCTCACTTTATCTCGACGCATCGTGACTGCTCTCCTTTCAGATCAAGAGATATCT